AAAAAAAAAAAAAAATTAAACACATGTGCTATACGCACTGGCCTGTCCCTGTAGTCCCAGCTATCCAGGAGATTGAGATGGGAGGATTGGTTGAGCCTAGGAGTTCAAGGCTGCAGTGTGCTATGATTGTGCCTGTGAAGAGCCACTGTACTCCAGCCAGGGCAACATAGCTGGAGTACCATCTCTTTTTTTCTTTTTAAGACAGAGCCTCAAGCTGTCACCCTGGGTAGAGTGCCGTGGCATCACAGCTTACAGCAACCTCCAACTCCTGGGCTCAAGCGAGTCTGTTGCCTCAGCCTCCCAGGTAGCTGGGACCACAGGCACCCACCACAACGCCTGGCTATTTTTTGTTGTTGTTGCAGCTGTCATTGTTGTTTGGCAGGCCCGGGCTGGATTCAAACCTGCCACCTTAGGTGTATGTGGCTGGCGCCTTAGCCACCTGAGCCATAGGCGCCGAGCCGATCTCTTAAAAAAAAAGTTAAACACTTGTTCAGGAGAATCCACTTTAAACAAAGTTAAAAGGCAATTGAAACTGAAAATATTTACAACATGTATGATGCGTGGTTATATATATAAAGGTCAATCAGATCAATAAGGCAAAGATGAGTACCCAAACAAAATAGGCTAAGGCTTATGTAAGTAGGTAATTCACTAGAAAAATGGCCAATTAACCCTGGGAATAATGTTTAATCTTACAAATATTTAAAGCCATACAAATTATCCTGGTATAGTTATTAGAGTATGGATTGTGACCTTAATTAAGTGAGTTTAAGCCCAGTTCTGTCATTTCCTACCTTTATGATCTTAATTAAGTTATATGACATTTAAGCCTCAGTTTTCCTCATCTGTGAAATACAGGTAATGGAAACATATAGTATTATATGGAATTAAATCGGATAAAATGTGTAAAGTACCTGCTGGGTTGATAGTAAGCATTGCATCCTATCTGGACTCAAGGCTGCATGCCCTTAGCTACTTGTATTGCATTCCTGGCAGGAAAACCTTTTCTAGTTCCTATAAGAGACATCCAAATGATTAAGGGTGCTGTAACTTAGGGGATTGCTGAGAGGCCCTGCAAATTTGGGGGAATACAGACCATGAATGATTTAAGAGAACTATGTCCCAGAAGAGTAAATTGGACAGGAAAAAGGTAACTTGGGGCTCTTATTTATCAAACATATCTATGGTACTTGTCTCCTGGGCAATAGAGCCCTTTTACTAATGTTGCTGAGGAGCCTGCCAATATCTGCTTACCTAGGTATAAAAAGAAAGGGGAAATTACTTAGCCACTGTTAAGCAAATGCTTATGATTGTACGTGTACTACATAGGTAGAGGAGTTGGTTTAGGCAACCCCCTTGGGGTCTTGTTTTTTTTTTTTCAATAGAAAGTATATCAATGTTTATTTATTCTTTTGATCAAGAAGGTGCCAAAACAAATATGGGTACATTTTAAGAGAAAAAGCTATCCTACTCATGCCTGTCCCATGTTGGGTGACGCATTTGATTGACACCACTTTTTGAGTGAACATCATACTACACATTGCTACTGTAATTCAATTCAACTTCAAAAACTATACATAGAGTAGGGCACTGGCCCCATTTACCAGAGGTGGCTGGTTCAAACCCAGCCCTGGCCAAAAAACTGCAAAAAAAAAAAAAAAAAAGGTACACGTAGCTCAATCACTTTAAATGTGTATACATATTTTTGGCACCTCCAGTGTATGCCAGGTATAATGCTTGGTCTTTGGGAAACCATAGGCATGAAAGATAAAATCCTTTCTAGTAGAACAAGCAGGCAATAATTAAAGAATCACACAAACAGATGTAAAATTGTACCCAACCTAAGAGCCATAATGAAAATATATGGGGAGTGACATTGTGTGGCTATATGATAACATTGACCTAGTGATGTGCAGAAGGCAGAGCTGGAGGGAGTGCTTGGTCAAGAAAAGAAAGATAAACATGTCATTTGTGAAATGAAAAATGTTTTTCAAAGTATAACATATGGGCTCAGCACCTGTGGCTCAAGTGGCTAAGGCACCAGCCACGTACACCCAAGGTGTCAGGTTCAAATCCAGCCTGGGCCCGCCAAACAACAATGATGGCTGCAACCAAAAAATAGCCAGGTGTTGTGGCAGGCGCCTGTGGTCCCAGCTACTCGGGAGGCTGAGGCAGGAGACTCGCTTGAGCTGTGATGTCATGGCAGTCTACCCAGGGGGACAGCTTGAGGCTCCTGTCTCAAAAAAAGTATAATATGTGATAAGTGCTCTACTATGGATGTGAGTAAAATATTAGGAAGGCACAAATGAAGAAGTGATTAATTCTGCCAACGTGGCTAGAGGTGATAGTTAAGGAAGACTTCCCACTGGAAGTAACATTTTAGCTGGATTTTGAAAGGCAAGGATGAGTTCCACAAAAGGGAAGAAGTATGGAGCCATTGCTGGTTGAAGAAATAGCAGAGCAAAGACATATTCAGAGTTTCAGAAAGGAAGCTTATTAGTCTCTTTTCTAAGTTCCATCTGAAAGGACACAAGTCCCAGGACAGGTCTTAAAGTAATGGTGGGTGATGTTTGACAAAGAGTTCAGGGAAGGCCCTGGCAGGGTTTCTCAATATTTCTTAAGGCTTCTGCTGTTTCCCAGGTAGGCCCCCTAATCTGCAAAGCCCTAGGCAAGAGGAGGCTTTGAGGTAAGGCACTTTTTGCTTTGTGTGTAGGGAGAAGGAAAGTGCACTATTTGTTTCCAGATGGGAAAGAAATGGCCGAAGAATATGATGAGAAGACAAGTGAACTACTAGGTAAGTGACAAAGACTTCCAGTGGGTCCTCAGAAATCCTTGGGGCTGACCTAAGCACAAGTGAACACTCCTAGCCTTAGGCTTGAGGAAGGAGCCAAGACCAATGTAGAAACTAGGGGAGACAGAAGCCCTTAAGGCCAAGATTGTTCTTGAGAATAATCTGGTCACCAAAAGTACAGTGGGAGTCCTTTTGACCAGAAAAACATATCCCCCCCACATATACCTTCATGCAAATGGGAGAGTTGGTAATTCTTCTAAGATGGGAATGTGGATGTAGAGAAACGGTTGAGAAAAAGCTCTACAGAGGAAGTGGTATTGGAAATATGCCTATAGTCTGGGTAGAGGTAAGAACAGGCTTTCACTGCAGTTTTTTTCACTTGTTTTTTATTTTGGCTGAAGCTACACCAGGAACAAGTGAGTATCAGAAGCAGAGCTTCTGACCTTGGCTCCAAGGTGACACTATAAAATATAACCCTCATCTTGAAAAAATGTCTGAATCGAAGAGGGTAGAATTGGTGATTTTGCAGCATTGCCATCTTCATTCCTGTAACTCCTTTCCTCTAAGAATAGGCTCGTGGGTTCCAGCTTGGATTTCTGAGAATTATTTGATTTGCCCTCTCTCTGTTCCCAGGTATGCAGCTCAGCATTAACCAGCTTCCCAGAGCTAGGTGGCTGGCTCTTTGACCCAGGGCCCAAGGCTGTCAGCAGTGGGAGTTAGTCTCTTTATTAAGTTCCATCTGAAATGCTAAGACCAATGATGGAATCATGGGCTGCGTTATTTTCTTGTCATTATTCTTGATTTTAATTTCTTCCTGGGCCTGATCGACAGGTAGTATTGGTGAGGGAATTTCTTTTTCCCTTTTTCTGACAGCTCATAAATGTCTAGAACCGACAACATGGATTACACTGGCTTGCATTCTCTTAGTCTCCAGTCTTAAAATGTGTGTCCTGCGCATGTTCAGTCACAGAGTGAAGTGTTGATCCCTCCTTATTATAAGCTGCTTGGGCTCCAGTCCCAATTGGTTTAGTCTGGTGCTATTAAAAATCTTGATGTGTTTAGCATATGACACTGATTCGGTGGAAACCAATACAGTAGTAATATTCTTACAATGCATTGTAATTTATAGTGCTCCCAGGGGATGACAGCCTTGGAATGCCTAACAGGAGAGAACTTATGAAAGCAGAGGTCACGTGGGCTAACCACCCCCAAATCCAGCCCAGAGACTAGCCACAGCTCTTTGCCCTCAGCCCTGAGCACCATCTCTCTTCCCCTCCACACAGTGCAAATAAAACAGCTATAGTCGCTGTTGCTGTAAAAACAAACAAAACTCAGGCCTCTTTGTTGTGCTTGTACATGAAATTAAAATTAAAAACAAGTCCAGGGTGGTGCCTGTGGCTCAAAGGAGTAGGGTGCCAGCCCCATATACCAGAGGTGGTAGGTTCAAACCCAGCCCCAGCCAAAAACTGCAAAAAAACCCAAAACCCAAATCCAGGGCCAGGTGCAGTAGCTCATGCCTATAATCCTAGCATTCATGAGTTTGACACCATCCTAAGCAAGAGCAAGACCCCATCTCTACTGAAAATAGGAAAACTAGCCAAGTGTTGTGTCTGGTACCTATAGTCCTAACTACTGGGGAGACTGAGGCAGGGGGATCACTTGAGCCTAGGAGTTTGAGGTTACTGTGAGCTATAACAACATGGCACTCTAGCCTGGGCAACAGAATGAGACTCTGTCTCAAAATAATAATAATACAAGTTCAGGTTTCTTCATTTATAGATTTCATGTCCCAGTGTCCCATGTTAACATGTCATTTCTTTTGGTGACAAGTGGAGAACAGACCTGGCTTCCAAACTCCATTTTCTTTCTTTCTTTTTTTTTTTTCCTTGAAACAGAATTTCACTCTTTTTACCCTGGGGTAGAGTGTCATGGTATCATCATAGCTCACAGTAACCTCATATACCTGGGTTCAATAATCCTCTGGCCTCAGCCTCCTGAGTAGCTGGAACTATAGGTGCCCACCACATCACTTGGCTAGTTTTTCTATTTTTAGTAGAGACAGTGTCATGCTAGTTGAATTTCTGAGCTCAGGGGATCCACCCACCTCAGCCTCCCAGAGTGTTAGGATTACAGGTGTGAGCCACTGCACCTGGCCCAAAACTCTATTTTTTTGAGACAGAGTTTCACTATGTTGCCCAGTAGAGTGCTATGGCGTCATAGCTCACAGCAACCTCAAACTATTGGGCTTAAGTGATTCTCTTGTCTCAGCTGCCCAAGTAGCTGGGACTATAGGCACCCGCCACGACACCCAGCTATTTTTTGGTTGTAGTTGTCATTATTGTTTGGCAGGCCTGGCCTGGGTTCAAACCTGCCAGCTCTGGTGTATGTGGCTGGCACCCTAGCCGCTGAGCTATAGGTGCTGAGCCCAGCGCTCTTTTCTTAATGTTTTCCTTTCTCCAAAATGGCCTGAGTGGGCAAAGAGGAGCACCCCACTTGAATCACTGGGCCCCAACCTCTAGAATAGCAGATCTTTTTCTTATTCTTCTCCCCTATCCCAGCTGCCCTTGCAAAATACTGTTCTTTTTTTTTTTTCTTGAGACAGAGAGTCACTTGGTTACCCTTGGTAGAGTGCCTTGGTGTCATAGCTCAAACTTTTTTTTTTGAGCTGTAAATCTATGGTTAAAATTGTCTTTATTGATGTAATATATAAGCAGTAAAATACATAGATATTAAAGTATACAGTTCAAAGAGTTTTGACAAATACGTACATTCATGTAACCAAAATCCAAGCAAACTCTTGGGCTCAAGTGATCCTCTTTCCTCAGCCTCCCAAGTAGCTGGGACCACAGGTGCCCACCATAACACCCAGCTAATTTTTAGAGACGGAGTCTCACTTCTACTCAGGCTGGTCTTGAACTCAAGCAGTCTGCCCACCTTGGCCTCCTAGAGTGCTAGAATTACAGGCGTGAGCCACCTCAACCAGCCCCCATTATTTATTTATTTATTTTTAGAGACAAAGTCTCACTTTATCACCCTCGGTAGAGTGCTGTGGTGTCACAGCTCACAGCAACCCCCAGCTCTTGGGCTTAAAGCAATTCTCTTGCCTCAGCCTCCCGAGTAGCTAGGACTACAGGCCCCTGCCACAATGCCTGGCTATTTTTTTTTTTTTTTGTAGAGACAGAGTCTCACTTTATCGCCCTTAGTAGAGTGCTGTGGTGTTACAGCTCCCAGCAACCTCCAACTCCTGGTATTAGACCATTCTCTTGCCTCAGTCTCCTGAGTTGCTGGGACTATAGGTGCCCGCCACAATGCCCAGCTATTTTTTTGTTGCCGTTTGGCCGGGGCCAGGTTTGAACCTGCCACCCTCAGTATATGGGGCCAGTGCCTTACCCACTGAGCCACAGGCACCGCCCTATATATATATTTTAAGAGACAGAGTCTCACTTTGTTGCCCTTGGTAGAGTACTGTGGCGTCACTGCTCATAGTAACCTCCAACTCCTGGGGCTAGGCGATCCTCTTGCCTCAGCCTCCGGAGTAGCTGGGACTACAGGCGCCTGCCACAATACCCGGCTATTTTTGTTGCAGTTTGGCCAGGGCCAGGTTTGAACCCCCTGCCCTCGGTATATGGGGCCTCTGCCCTATTCACTGAGCCACAGGCACTGCCCACTATTTTTTTTTTTATTGTTGCAGTTTGGCTGGGGCCAGGTTCGAACCTGCTACCCTCTGTATATGGGGCTGGCGCCCTAACCACTAAGCCACAGGTGCCGCCTACTCATTATTAATTTTTAAATATGAATAATCCCAGGGCTTGAGATGGCTTTTTTTTTTTTGAGACAGAGTCTCACTTTGTCATCCTTAGTAGAGTGCCGTGGCGTCATAGCTCACAGGAACCTCTAGCTCTTGGGCTTAGGCAATTCTCTTGCCTCTGTGGCTGGGACTACAGGCACCTGCCACAACGCCTGGCTATTTTTTTTGTTGCAGTTTGGCTGGGGCCAGGTTTGAACCCACTGCCCTTGGTATATGGGGCCAGTGCCCTACTCACTGAGCCACAGGTGCCGCCCTGAGATGGCTTTTGCTTGTGCTTTCCTTGAAGTAAAATATGGGCATGGCTTTTATGTCAATAAATAGGAATTTTCCCACCTAATTATACAAATTTAATAATTGGCTAAACTAGTTTTCTATTAGAAAAACTTAGAAAGTAATGTGCAGAGGAAGAATTGCTAGTAGGTGTGCATCTGTCTGGGACAGAATTCTTCTAGTTGGTGTCAATAAGCATGTTAGTCTCGTATTTTTTTCCTACCTTCTCAGTGCTATTCATTCCCACCCCCCACAATGAATGCTATATGTATTCATAGGGGAAAAAACTGAAGTCCCCATAACAATGATCGGAACATCAAACCAGCCTGAGAAGAACACAGCATGTCCAGGGGGGCCAAGGCTGAAGGGCAGGCCATCCCCCAGCGATTACATTCGGATTACCGGCTTAATCTGCTTTGGTATTTGACCGCCAGCCTAACCACCCCAGGCTACATTTGGAGGATATTGAGCACTTTCATCCCCAAGCACTTCACTGGCTTTATAAATGACCCACTCGATTCCCTTCAGTCTCCTCGGGGATGGGCCGTGGCAGCTGTTTAATAGCTACATAGCAATGTTGCAGTGTTTTAGGGCAGAAAAGAAGAATCCTGCATCCAGTTTAAGCTGCAGGGAGTATTTAGGAAGGGGGATGTAATTATCCATATTGGAAGTGGGCCAGGGCTTGGAGCTTTGGGGAAAGAGGCCTTTAGGACTTCTACTTTCCAGTCCACCTGAAATATGGGGCCTCTTTTCAGCAGTCTGGGACATCAGCCTGCTTCCTGCTGATGTAGGAAAAAGCCCCAAAGCCCTGTCTCCTTCACATATTCCCCATCAGACCCTTTTCACGGTCCTTGAAAGTCTCTTTTCCAAGGACTGGCCCTGGCTCAGCCAGGAAGATGTGACAGCGTCCCAAGGAGCTGCCTTATATGCACCAGTTTGGGTTTAACATATAATCAAATCAGAGTGACAGCAGGTGGAAAGCAGTCTTCTGTTGCCGCAGGAGCCGTCCTTGAGTTTAGGAACAAAGCCAGGGACGAGAAAGACAAGACAAAGTGTGCATTTGCAAATGTGCATTCATGCCCACATGCATTGGAAAAATAAGAACTTTGCCAAAATCCTTTATTGGATCTTATCTCTTGAGGGAATGGGAAGGAAAACTTTCTTCTTCAATCTAACAAAGAATTTAAGGTGTTAAAAAAAAATAAAAAAGTGAAGCAGCCAAGGGTGCCAAGCTGTGACCTGAGTTAGAGTAAGGAAGAAGTAGTCAGAAGTAAGGAGGCAAGCATCTGATTTTCTTCTTTGAGTATTTCTGTACAAAACCCAATATATCTCAGACTAAAAGAGTGGACAAAAATTCTGGGGTAGTTATTGTCTCTCAGTCTACACTAATACTGTATTATGTCTTAGGATATACAATATAACAAGGTCCGTGATTACAGGGGCACCCACCTAGCTATAGTTAGATATTCCTTATAATTTATTTTTTCAGGTGATCATAATTTAGCCTTTAAAGGACACATGAAAAAGAAATATGGCCAGGCATGGGGGTTCACACCTATAATCTCAGCAATATGGGAGGCCAAGGTGGGAGTATCATTTGAGCCCAGGAGTTAGAGACCAGTGTGGGCAATATAGTGAGACCCTGCCTCTATCAAAAAGAGAAAAATTAGCTAGGTCATAGTCCTAGCTACTCAGGAGACTGAAGTGAGAGGATAGCTTGAACCCAGGAGTTGGAGGTTACAGTGAGCTATGATCATGCCACTACACTCCTGGGCCATAGAGTGAGACTATCTCTTAAACAAACAGAAAGAAACAGAGCTACTTAAAAAAAGAAAAGAAAAGAAATCTTTCTAAATATTATATATGCTTATTGAACACTTATAGAATAAAGTTTAACCTTTTATTAATGATCCAAATTCTGGATTTAGAGTAAGAAGAACTGATGTTTAGCTGTGGCATTTATAAGTTAGTTTCTCTGAGCATCCCTAACAGTAGTGGCTAGGGTTGAAATGGAAGAAATGCTGTTTTTCATTTTAAAACTAGATGCTTTCTAAAGGGACTTCACCTCTAGAATCTGTGATGACTGTGTTCTGTTATATAGCAGTGCCACCAGTGTCTAAGGGTGCTTATTTGCTCTCCTTCTAAATGATCTCAAGTGCTTATGTAGTTCTGACTCTTCCCTCTGATATAAGCTGTCCCCTGATACTGTTGTCAATATGCCTGGGGAAAAAGTAATTTCCTACCTTATTCCACATGTAGCCATTTTATACACGGTCTGGGTGAGAATCTGGGAGTGATCTTTCCTATAGTGTAGAGGTTACATGGGTCTTGTCACAGTAAGCTATGCCTTGAGGCATTTGTCACTTCTGAGTTTGTGACTGTGACAGAGGCTCCCAGAAGGATGGCTTCCAGTGAAGTGAGGTATTACAGTGAATAGATTTGGATATACTCCTGGTCATAGTCCATTCACTTAGAAGAGAAGTGTTTGTTGAAAAAAAGTTGCCTATAAAGCATATTTCCAAGTTTTACTCTTCCTTATTAATTTTCATTATAAACTTGGAAATAGGTTTCTAGGGAGGATTTTTGGCCCTAAGATATAATAAAACCACTCTGCAGAATGTAGCAGACCTTATAAAAGCATATTCAAGAGAAATTTCTAATTTTACAGTACTCTTCTATGTTCAGCTTGTGTTCTTTACTTAGAGCAGTGAGGATGTTTGCATCTGGCACAGCTGCTCAAAAGGTCTAAAGGAAAACCACCCACTTGCTTGATGCTGAGAATCAGACTGTAGCTATCATCTCCCAACCTGGAAAAAGGAGCAAACGAATGGAAACAACTGTAGCAGAGTACCATGAGCTTTTTGAGATGTTTAGCTCCAAAGATAGCCACAGAAAGTTGCTAGTCTTTAGCCAAGACTGGGCTGCTCAGGCCGGAGGATACAAGTTGCAGCAGCCCTTCCCTCCATGATACCAAGTACAGCTAGAAAGGAAAAGAAAGGGTGGGAAAAGAATTCAGGGCTCAGAAAAATTCCTCCTGTACTCCTGCAGGGGTGGACTGCACAACAGGAGTCACTACATACCTAAGTAAGGTCCCTGAAAATCTCAGCAGGGGTTTCCAATTAATGTTCCTTGAACTAGTGTCCTGATATATAATTTCCATAATATTATGTCCTTTAAAGCAAACATCTGGGTTGTAAAACAAGGTAAAATAGAGATGTTTATTTGCATTATTAAATGATTCCATTTTACAAAAAATTTGCATCAGATCTTCTATAAATAGTACATTAAAATATGGTATGTGCCTAAGATTTTATTTAAGTACAGATTTCAGGGTTTTTTTTAAGAGTGAAGTATACCTGAAACAAGTGAATTTCTATGTTTGGACTTTGTGAATCATGAGACAAACCTGCCCAACAGCTTTTACCCTCTTAATCTATTTTTCCTTTGCAAGTTTTTTAGAGAGGGAAAAAAATGCATCTTTTTGTTTGGTTTTTTTTTTTTTTTGAGACAGAGCCTGTCCCCCTGGGTAGAGTGCCGTGGCATTACAGCTCACAGCAACCTCCAACTCCTGGGCTCAAGCAAGTCTCCTGCCTCCGCCTCCCAAGTAGCTAGGACCACAGGCGCCCGCCACAACGCCCGGCTGTTTTTTGGTTGCAGCCGTCATTGTTGTTTGGCGGGTCTGGGCTGGGGATTCGAACCCGCCACCTTAGGTGTACGTGGCTGGCGCCTTAGCCTGTTGAGCTATAGGCGCTGAGCCTGTTTGCTTGTTTTTTAATAGACAAAATCTAACTCTGTCACCCTGGGTAGAGTGCCATGCCATCATCATAGCTCACAGCAACCTCAAACTCCTGGGCTCAAGCAATCCTCTTGCCTCAGCCTCTTGAGTAGCTGGGACTACAGGCACCCCCTACAATGCCTGGCTAATTTTTCTATTTTTAGTACAGATAGGGTATCACTTTGCTCAGGCTGGTCTCAAACTCCTGAGCTCAAGCTATCCACTGGCTTCAACCTCCCAGAGTACTAGGACTACAGGCGTGAGCCACTGTGCCTGGCCTGAAAAGAATGTCTTAGCTCCCTTAGCTCCCTTTTTGTGCTCCAAGTTTTCCCTGTTACTAGAAACTACCCTTTTTCTAACTTCTGCATCTTTTTGAAAGGGTTGAAAACCCTTTTAAAACCCAATCTAAGGGTTTCTTAACTCCACTTGGTTCCTCTTAGAGCTTCATTCTAGTCCTTTTGTCTGGGCACTCATGAGATAGGTTTTGCAAGTTGTTTGATATTGAAATGTTCTACTGAGATTTCAGAGTTGGTAATGTCCCTGCTCAGGTGAACAAAGCCTAATGTAAAGTTCCCAAATTCCCAATTTTATCTTGTTCTAGTTACCTAACACGGTGTTGGTAATCTGGCAGAAAAGAGCAAAGACCCTTTCTTAACTATCATCCCATTGTTTGCTTCTCTCTGCAGTGAGAAAGTGGCGTGTGAAAAGTGCTCTGGGAGTCTTGGGCCAGTGGCAGCTTGAGGTGGGAGAGCCAGTGCCCCCAGGAACAGGGAGCCTAGGCCCCGAACTCATCAAGGAAAGCAATGCTAATGTACGTCCATTTGTCCAAGTGCCTTGTGGGGGCTAAGGTGAGGGTGGACTGCTACCCCTTGAAAGCTGGGAACATGTCCTGTTCACCTCATCTCCAGTATGTCCACCTGGACACAACATTCTACAAATGTTTGTTTGGATGAATAAAAACATTTTGGCTTGATCATCCCAGGGTGAGGGCTCTAGGCCTGGAATGTCATAGCAATAGTAGCATGGGAGGGGCATTATGGCGAAGAACTGAGGGTCTCCTATTATACCCCTGGGTAGAATTTTTTCTGTTTGTTTGTTTTTTGAGACATCGGTTCACTATGTCTTCCTCTATAGAGTATTGTGGCACCACAGCTCACAGCAACCTCAAACTCTTGGGCTTAAGCAATTCTCTTGCCTCAGCCTCCCAAGTAGCTGGGACTACAGGTGCCCGCTGTAAAGCCCAACTACTTTTTGTTGTTGTTGTTGTTACAGTTGTTGTTTAGCAGGCCCAGCCGGGCTTGAACCTGCCAACCTCGGTGTATGTGGCTGGCACCCTATTCACTGAGCTACAGGTGCCAAGCCCCTGGTAGAGTTTTGAGAAGGGTGGAGCCAGACCTTTTCCAAGAACAGTCCTTGAGTTGGATTTGCCTTTTACAGCCTATCTTCCTGCGCAAGGACACAAAGATGAGTTTCCAGTGGCGGATCCGAAACCTTCCCTACTCTAAGGATACCTATAATGTCTGTGTGGACCAGAAGGAGCGCTGCATCATTGTCAGAACAACCAACAAAAAGTGAGTAGTGTGGAAGGTACCTGTCTGCTTTTGTATGAGTGGGGTGTGGGATGGGATTTGATCTGGGGTTAGGTCTCAGATTGCTCCCTACCCCAGAAGACAAAGAAGCCTGTCTCTGAGGAAGAGAGTGAAGGAGGCTGAACTAAAACCCAAAAGTCACTGAAAGTAGAAGGGCTTCCTCTCTGTAAGATCAACTTAAATAATATAATCAGCTTCATTGTGGCAGGAAAACTTGAATGAGTGTCTAGTATAGTACATGGCACATACTGGGGCTTAATATTTGTTGAATAAGGGGGTGAAGGAAACACATGGCCATTAACTTTAGGTAACCATTAACTCAGGTAGTTCTGCTATTAGGTTATTATGACCTTGACATCTTAGTATACTTGGCCTAGTGACATCACTGTCAGAGCTGTCAAGGAGCAATAGTCTGGAAGGCACATCTTTCTGAGGTGGCAATTATAGGACTGACAAGTACTGGACTGAGCAGCAGTAGACCTGATCCCTCCCTGAACTGAGTTGACAATGGGCAGACACTTTGAAATCTTGGAAGTCTCTTGCAGCATGTTTCAAAGGGGTACTCAACGTCTCTTTGTAGTCCCCTAGGTCGAGGTTGAAAGGACAAAAGGTGACTGAGGTACATTTCTGTCTTGGGAGCGCATTGATCCCATTTGGGTTTCTGGGCTTCTGACTGATTGTAGAAGAGCTGTGTTTGAGGCATGAAGAAAATGGCTCTGAAGTGAATTGGTCTTAACCTGAACCAGAGGGATTGTAGTATAGGGCCATTACTCATGAAATAGATTTGGGCATTGAGATGGGAGGTGTTATGAGTTAGCTGTCAGCAAGTTGTGAAGCCATTCAACAAGCCTCATGATGTGCTAAGCCTAACCCAGAGATGCCCCAACCCATCCACTACTTAACATACAGTAAGGAGGTTCTGGGTCCCTTTCTCTGTCTTCTTAGGCAGTGTGATGCTAGCCTCCCCAACCATCTCCTTTGGGCCCATGAGGCCCACAGGGAAGCAGGGTGGCTCCCAGATTCCCCTAAGCACAGGCCTGAGCCCTACCATTCTCTTAATGACCCCCATAGCCTATCACTTTGGCAGGGTTAAGGGGACAAGGGAAGAGGTAGAGATAAATGAATTAATTTTAGGATTATTGCTGCACATGCAGCTAGAAGCTCGTGCAGTGGGTCTTGTCTATAAATATAAAGTCATAATAATAAGGGTTTGCGTTTATAAAGCACTTTGAAGGCCTCATATAAAAGGCAGTTTATTCTTGTTATTGTTCTCATCATTAACAGGAGTCAGTGCCTAAAGTGGAATTTAGCAATTTCAGACAACAAAGAAATTGCCTGTAGGAAAACAAACTCCATGCTTCAGCAAGCATTCCCTGGTGTAAGAAGCCCTGGGTCCAAACGGGGAACAAAAGTGCTTCTGATAGCACTTGAATCTGCAGCCTAGCACTTTGTGGAGCTGGCTGCTGCCTCCTTTTTGTCCCCCAGAGGTCACTGTCGAATACAGATATCAAGCGGAAATGTGATTACCAAGGAGTGAGAAGAAAGGCTAGCTAGCTCACCAAAAAATTCAACTGCGGGCGAATCCTCTGGGTCCCATCCGCTGCAAACGTCCAGCCATAGGTGGCGCTGTTGGCCAGGAGCTCCATGGCTAGAGATCATTTGTTATAGCCCCCAAGGCTATGGGGTAAAGAGGATAGGGGGATTTGGGATATTTTGAAACAATGGGTGAAGCCAAGTAGGAAGAGAGTGGTACTCCAGAAGGGTCAGGGCTGGGGGTTGGATTCCCATAGAGTGGAGAAGAGTGTTTCAGGACCTACTCTGGAGACCCCCATAAGTCTGTGGTCCAGTGTCCCAGGCTGGTTCAGCTTTGACAGCCTCAGGCTCCTCTGCTGAGAAGTAGGCTGGAGAGGCTGTTAAACCCTTAACTGGATCTTTCCTGAATCTAGTTGCATTTTCAATTTCTACTTGGAGTGATATGTTCTATACCTTACTCCCTTTAATTAAACAGAGCTCATAGCTATTACTTTGAGCAGTGTTTCACTTTCTCAGGGTACAGTACTTTTAAATTTTTTTTACAGTACTTTTTTTTCCTTTCTTTTTGTTTTCCAAGGCAGGGACTTCCTAGGTTAGAGTACAGTGGTGTAATAATAGCTCACTGCAACCTCCAGCTTCTGGGCTCAAGGGATCCTCTTGCCTTAGCCTCTCAAGTAGATGAGACTACAGGCTGAGTCACAGAGCTCATGTAATCCTAAAGGCACTTGTAATACCTGGCTAATTTTTCTTATTTTTCATAGAGATGAGGTCTCGCTAAGTTGCTTAGGCTGGTCTTGAACTCCTGGCCTCAAGTGATCCTCCTGCTTTGGCCTCCCAAAGTGCTAGGCTCACAGGCTTGAGCACCACACCTGGCCTTAAGAGCTATTTTCTGGGCTCGGCGCCTGTGGCTCAACCGGCTAAGGCGCCAGCCACGTACACCTGAGGTGGCGGGTTCGAATCTCCAGCCTGGACCCGGCAGACAACAATGACGGCTGCAACCAAAAAATAGTCCCAGCTACTTGGGAGGCGGAGGCAGGAGACTCGCTTGAGCCCAGGAGTTGGAGGTTGCTGTGAGCATGATGCCATGGCACTCTACCCAGGGGGATAGCTTGAGGCTCCGTCTCAGAGAAAAAAAAAAAAAAAAAAAGAGCTATTTTCTGATCATCATACCATCTGGAGGTGGTGGGCAGGATACATATTTTTATTCTTGTGCTATATATTAATTATATAAATGTATATATTTATGAATTAACCTGCCAAAAAGAAAGTCAATGACCTCTCTTGATAGCCTGGCATCTACAGTTTCTCCCACACCATGGCATTTCTCTCTGATTTGACCTCTTCCTTCATCTAGAGGTTCTACACCTGGCCCAGTTCTAATAGCTTAGAATGTAGTTGCTGATCAAAGCCAGAATTCGTTTATCCATACCTTCCTTGATCCTATAGAACTGGGTTGGCCACTTTATTTTTATTTATTTATTTTTGAGACAGAGTCTCACTTTGTTGCCCTCAGTAGAGTACCATGGTGTCACAGCTCGCAGCAACCTCAAACTCTTGGGCTTAAGCAATTCTCTTGGCTCAGCCTGGTCTCGAACCTGCAAGTTCAGGCAATCCACCCACCTTGGCCTCCCACAGAGTTAGGATTACAGGTGTGAGCCACTGCGCCCCGCCTGGGTTGGCCACTTTACTTGAAGGAATTAATTCTAATGTATTATGCCTTGGCCTCTGGCATTAGAGAGGGATGAATTAGGGAAGGGAAAGGTACTTTTTCAGGACCCGAGTATTGGACCTTCTGTTTCTGATGACGTTTATGCAGAAAGCATATTCTTAGTCTCATCCTAGACGCTGACAGCTGTAACTGGAATGTGCTACGGTACTAAAGTGGGAAGATGTTGGGTTAAATCTGTCACATATTAGCTATAGTATTTTGGGCAAGGTTTCCTTATCTATCACAGAAGAATACTCACATCTACCTCACAGGTTGTTTTGGCAATTTGATGAAATCATACATGTGCTGGCCTGAAGCAGGTCCTCAACAATTCTTTGGAAATTGAAAACTGAAGAGAACTTGGCTGATTTGACATCAGCAGTACTAACACCATCAGAGGTGTTACATGACACTAGAAAAAGGATTTTATAGTCAAATAAGTTTAGGAAACTTTGGATTAAATAGCCTTCTCTTTAGTAGAACTCCGAGTGCCTTTAGGATTACATGAGCAATGTGATTCTCTAGCAGGGGGCTACTATAGGTAGGGGTGGTGAGTTTGCCCAGAGCCTTGATGTTTAAGATTTGCCTGCTAATTTTCTAAGGGTGGGATGGGCTGGAGGCCTCTTTGGACCCTTCTGGCCATGCCAGTATGCAGGTGTGTGGCACATGGCTTGAGTGATGGTCTATAGCAGCCCTGTTTCTGCCCTCAGTCTCTCTTTCTGAAGCCCTGTCCTCTGGTGCCCTTTCTCCTTCATTGGAAGGGAGAATGGGTTTGGGGAAGGGATATAATAGAGAGTGAAGGGAGGCAGTAGGTCACTTATGAAATAGCTGAAGTGAAGTTGTCATCTGTTCAGATAGGGAGAAGAGAGGTACAGAATTGGCCTGTACTGAACTCTTTGACTTCAAGTTCATTTAATGCAGCTCCTTTATTTGAGGAAGGAATTTGGAGGAAGACACTGATGCTCAGAAGTTAAGCAGCCTGGGCTCAGTGCCCATAGCACAGTGGTTACAGCACCAGCCACATACACCAAGGCTGGTGGGTTCAAACCCACCCAGGCCAGCTAAACAACAATGACAACTCCAACAAAAAATAGCTGGGCGTTGTAGCAGGTGCCTATAGTCCCAGCTACTTGGGAGGCTGAGGCAAGAGAATCGCTTAAGTCCTGGAGTTTGAGGTTGCTGTGAGCTGTGACATCACATCACTCTACAGAAGGTGACATAGTGAGAATCTCAAAAAAAAAAAAAAAAGAGTTAAGCAGCCTGCCCAAGGCCACAGGGTACGGCCAGGAGTTCCATTGTAAGCCTTTACTCCCAGTAAGTCTCTTGAAGACTGACATTCAGAAAGGAAGGCTCCACTGATATGTTGGAGTACCCAGGTTAGTACCCTGTCCCAGGGCAGAAAACTTGTTTGCTGTTGAATCTCCTACCCACAATCCCAGGATCTGCCCCATCCTTGGACAAACACAGGGACTCTAGACCAGGTGGTCTATTACTTTGTGGTGAAAATGTAGAGAGAGGAAGGGATCAGGAGACTTGGGGAATTATCACTTATAATAGGGGCTTCTCCATTTATCAGCTTTGTGACTTTGGCACAAAGTCTCAAGTTTTCCATGCCTCAGTTTCCTCTTTTCTAAGAGAGGATAATAGAAGTAACCAACCAGAGAAAGTTGTTTTGAGGATTAAATGTATTTAGAATAGTGCCTGGTGCAGAATGTGCATTAATTTTGTTTAAATGTCAGCTTTCATTTCATGGCTGAGACTGAAAACAGTGAAGGGAAGTGGGAATGGGGGGAAGTTGGGCATCTGCAGGAAGCCAGGGTATTACCCTGCTAGAACGATTGAGCTTTTAGCAAGAAATAAAACAAGGTCTACTCAGGCAGGAATATATCCTTGTTTCTTCTTTATCCTGAAATCAAGGCCAAGATATGTTGATGCCCAATAAATGTATGCCATCTACCTAGAGCTACCTGAGGCTGAACATTCCTTTTCCAGAAGCACAGTGGGTTCCTCTCTTGTCCACATGAAAAAGTCAAATGCAGTATTTAGCATGGCAAGGCTGGGGAAATGGAGGTTGCAAGGGACCCCAATGACCCCTGAGACCTGAGAAGAGAAGGCAAATGTCCCATGCCTGTCAGGAGCCTCTAAGTCAGTGGTTCTCAAGCTGTGGGTCACAACCCACCGGAACTGTATTAAAGGGCCTCGGCATTAGGAACAGAGAGAACCCCTACTCTAAGTAGTTGTTTAACCTCAACCAATCTACTTAACCTCAACTAAATCTATTATAATAGAATCAAAAAACTGAGCCTCCAGACCTCTTCTGCCTCTATTCCCCTAGTCTGGTGGGAGTAGGATGAGGAAGGGGCAAACCCTACACTCAGGTTCCCTCTGCTCTGATCCTATGCTTACCATTGCGACCAAACCCTGGGATTCTTTCTAAATACCACAGCTCCAACTTGGGAGAAAGGTTCGGCTAGGCTGTTTCTCTCCTGGTTCTGCTTTGTGTGTATATTTGAAGGGAAGATGTTAACACTTCCTAACAAGCTTTTGTGTTCATCTAATCTCTGCTGTTTAACCTTTGACTCTCTTCTATTATCAGTGTCTGCCACCTTTGCTGGCTAGACCAAGGGCCTCAGGAAGAGCCCTCAGCCTGGGCTGGCTAGGAAGAGGATGAGGCAGGCATTCCATCCTGGGTTTACAGGCAGATGGATTGCCTTTCCCTGGGGCTGAGCTTTGGAAAATAAAGCAACTTGCAGTGCCATTAGGATCCCCCAGCCCCCATTCCTTTTGAACTGTCAGCCTTTAAGTAAACATTCTTTTCCTGCCATGGGTCCAGCACCTTAGTGGGGAGTGGAGAACCTGGGAGGAGAGGGCCCCTGAGAGCCTCCGCTGAACGGAGGGATTTGAGCAGGGAGGAATGGAGCAGAAGTGCTGCATTGATGTCAACTCTGAGTCCCCAGGGCATCAGGGCTTTTGAAGTGGACTGGGGAAGCTGTCACCACAAGGACCCAGGCCCCTCTGAAGTATTAAAAGCCCCATCCTCTCTAGGCCCCTCATTTGAGTTTGTTTGTACCTGCCTGAGGCATTTCCCTTCACAGCCCACACAACCTCTGTAGCAGAATATGAGGGCTTGCCAGGTAAGAGGCCTTGCCAGGTAAGAGGTCATTGGCCACAGCCTAGCTACACTCGCAAGGAAAATGCCAAATGGGCCTTAGAGATGAGGCCATTTTTGTGCTTGCTCTGGTGTAATAAGCATCAGACCAGGAACAAGGAACTTAAATCCTGACTCCTTACTCTACTGACAACTGGCTATGAAATACAGGCAAGATATTTCGTCTCTCTGGAGCCTAAGGTTTCTCTTTGGTAACGGGGGTTAAATTTCCTGCAAAACAAAGTCCAGTTATATACAATATGAGCTGGGTATTGCTATCTGGGTTTTCATTTTTTAATTTCGTTTACTAAAAAGGATCATTAATTTCTGGGCTAGCACCTGCATATGATAGGGGCCATGTACAGTGTCTGAAATTATAGTAGTAAGGTCTTGGGACCAGCAAAGTAGTCCAGAGATCCAGCTTCTGTGATGAGTAACATCATTTGTCCTCTGAGGGAGATTTCTCCTTGTGGATGTACTGTTCTCGTTGATCTACAAGTAGCCAGGCTAACAAGGCCTGGAAAGACTTCCAAAGAGGAAAAGGTAACTAAGATCTTCAGTGGAAGTCCCATGTAAATGGCAACTGCAGGGCCTTAACATTGGGGGACAGCCCTTTTCTTTATCCTTTGTGAGAACATATGTCCCATCTTTTGGTGTCCTCATGGGGCTTTGGGTGTAGAGGAGGCCCGAGCCACCTGAGGTATATGTTTATTCTGGGAAGCTTCTTCTACCTGTCTTTGGGGAACTCAACCTTTAGTGTGAGTCATTCTAACTCTGGTCTAATCATGGAATTGTGACTGCTTCTGTTCTGCCATTGGACTGGATATAAGGCTTTCATCCCTTTCTTCCCAGGGCTACTGAGCTCTGTAATACTGATATTCTGGAGTCCCTTCTTCCTCTCTGGCTGTGTGGAAGGTATCAAACTGTGTAGAAGCTTGGTGGCAGAGGGCCTGATGCCCAACTGTTGGGAGCCCTAACAGCCTCTTGGTATTCCCACAGGTACTACAAGAAGTTCTCCATTCCTGACCTAGACAGATACCAGTTACCTCTGGATGATTCCTCGCTGAGTTTTGCTCATGCCAACTGCACCCTAATAATCTCTGTAAGATTCTCCCAGAATTCTTGTGTACTACACCAGGGAGTGGCTTCCTCTTTTCCTGTCCACTTCCAATCCCACAGGAGCCCCCAGTTGTGGCCCTAACCCCTAGGATGTGCTTGATAGAGAACAGGGATCTGTAATTCAGCATGGGGAAGAGCAGGGTGGGGCCTCAGGGAGGAGCCTGGTCATATAATTCACAGATGAGAGAGGGTAGAAAATGATGGGGAATAAATTGCAGGACTTTTGAGTTCTGGTCCAAAGGCCACATGAACTGGAGCAAATCATTAAATGTCTGTAGACCTCAATTTTCTCATGTACACAGAAGTGGCCTGAAGAGTGGAAGGAACAGGGATAGTGATTGAATATGTCGTCTTTCTGGCTCCATTTATAGTATCAGAAGCCAAAGGAGGTCATAATGGCTGAGTCAGAGCTACAGAAGGAGCTAAAGAAGGTGAAGACAGCCCACAGCGGCGATGGGGACTGCAAGACCCAGTAGCTAACCACAAAGTCTTGTACCTCCAGCATGGAGGGCACCGTGAAACTTCAGGCTTAGGCCTTTCCAGCCCAGGGCAGCCTCCTGGATTCTAGGAGCTATCTGGAGTCTGAAGGACTGGACTGTGGGGTACTCCTAGCCTCTGAGTCATGATCTTACTTCCTGAGTAAAGTCATTCTGAGTTACTGCACAGGAACTATCCTTTTGTCTACCTCTGTATGCTGCATGCCCCCAGACCCCAGTGGCCTCCCTTCTTCATCCTGGGGCCCTTCAACATAAATCCTTCCGCATAAAGGGAGGTGAAGAGGGTGGAAGCTCATGACCCCAATAGGGCAGAGCAGGGCATTTCCTCCAGCCTGTCTGCATAAACTCAGAGGTAGGCTAGGCTAGAACCCTGTGCTACCTTAGCTTGCAAAAGTATCTCAGAGGAAACTCCCTAAGATAGGTTAGGTATGGGCAAGGCAGAAGTTTTAAAAATGCAAAAGCCTTGGAAACAGCACAAGATGTTTAGATATTGAGGGTGAAAAGCCAGAGTAAGGGTCAAAGTGTTGCTAAGGGTTTGTGTGTATGTGAGGTGGGGTGCAGAAAGGCCTCCACAGATGATAGCAGTTTGGAGCCCTTCCATAATCCCCTCTCCATACTTCTCTTCTTTTCTTTTTCTCTCTCACACACACACATGTGCACATACAGCTGAAGGGGTAGGTGGTCAACAGGGTTTTCCTGAAGAAACCCTTGTTCTTTGGGAAACAGCCACAAGGTTGATTTCATACCTTCCCCAGCATATACAACCCTGACTTTGAAACTGTTCTTCCCTTTTCCTGGGGCCTCCTAGAACTACCCAGCCAGTGAAGAACCAGATCTATGAACAATCAAGCTTTATTTTTCACAAAAATGAAAAGTAGCATGTCTCAACAGCCAGACTGAGGTAGGGCTGGCTCAGAACTCACTCAGAACTACTAGGTTCCCTTTAGTCCTTTCTTGGTTTCAAAGCAAAACCAGTCTACAGTGGCCCAGGAATGAACTCTCAGCCCTAAGAGGTTGGTCAAGGGTAGGGTCTGACTAAGACTGAGGAGGCCAATGCTAGCAGGCAGGTATTGGCAGCCTCACCTCTCCTTCTGGGAAGAAGCATAAAGGGACCAAGCATGAAGGAAGGAGCTCCTCACCTCACTCTGTAGGCTGTCAAAGGGGTGGACAGATGCTTGCTCTGGTCAAATAGGGACACAAGGCCCAGGTTCAACTGCACTTTCCCAAAGCAGCAGGCTTGTCTCTCCACGTTCCTGGGAGGGACTGCATCTCTGGGTCTACCCCAAAGCCCCAAGAGTCAGAAGCCTCTAGTTAAGGTACCCAAGCACTGATTCACAAGTCTAGGAGCACAGTGGGGGCAATAGAGAGGAGCGTTCACTGCACCTTCCAGGCAAGAGTGGTCCCTGAGTAGCTGGCTTCCCTAGCTACTTAGCAGGGAGTACTCAGCAGGGAGCTACTCAGCTGGCTTCCCTAGCAGGGGTGGCCTGATAGTCATGGGTTATGAAAATCCAGGACGTGGAGGTTATAAGACAGCGCAGCATAGAGATGCTTGGTGGTAAGACGCAGGCAGTATACAGGACTGCTGAGGGGGGTCGATGTCAGCGGGAAGGCCTAGAAGGGAGAGCACAAGAAGAGGTAAGAGCTTTCCATGTGGGAAATGGGGTTACCTTACCTAGGATCCCCAGGCCCAGTGAAATAGGAACATGTGCCATTATAGGGTTCCTCTGACCCTCTCCAGGCACACCCTTGGCCATATTACCCTCTCCCAGATACAGCCCATAATAAGGAATCCTGGCATCCTGGCAGTATCAAGTGGGCAGTACACTTACATGCAGGCAGGCCCTTTGGCGCCGGTCCCACAGCCGTACCACCCCATAGTAGGAAGAACCTGTGGCCAGCAGGTGGTTACCATCTGTCTGAAGGCAGTACAAGGTGCTGTCATGGGGTTCTTCCCACTCCATGACACATTTCCTGTCCAGGAAGGGAGATATAGAGGGAGGTTCAGGGTGCCCTCCACCCCCGGCTTCCTCAGGGGCCTTGAGGAACTGCAGAGAGGGTTAGGGAGCTATTGTGGACTGAGAGAGAGAGAGGGGGGCCTGTATCACCAAATTCTTCATAAACCTAACTTAATGAGGAAGTCGTCCTTTGTAAAGGACTCTCTTACTAAGCCCCGGAGCACATAGCAGATTATGCCTGCATCTGCGTTTCCACATGGTCAGCTACTTGTCACAGGACTCATGAAGAGAAGTAATAGGCTCGGCGCCTATAGCTCAACCGGCTAAGGCGCCAGCCACGTACACCTAAGGTGGCGGGTTCGAATCCCCAGCCCGGACCCG